AACCACCTTGTTGACATACATGTCACAAATGAAAGTAGAAATCAACAAATGCCTTGGGAAAAAATATCTATTTTTTATCTATTTCTTCCCCGGTAGTGATGCCTTATTGATGTCACATAGAGTTCCTTGATCCGATGAAAGTCCTTTTCTTTAATCTATTGCTCGCGCTCGGACACTTCCTGAAAAACGTATAAAAATAATTATGTGTTCAAGATTTGATTCATTTAGTTTATACAAGTGTTTGGTTTTGGGTTTGTTATTTGTGCCACGTACGTGTAACATATGATTCATGCAGCACATACCATATGTTACACGTCGGTGTGGTGTCATGTCTGATCAGAATACTCAGTAACGTTTGCATACAACGTACATATGTATTTTTATTACTGTTAATATTATGTAGTTCTTATAAGATTGCTTGATGTATATCTTTTGATGTCATTATGAGATTTTAACAGATTTAGTTCTCTGAAAAAAAGAGTTTTCTCAAAATTACCATTTTAGCTTCTTTTAAAATCTGTAGTTCACACTAACTTGCTTTGAATTTTTCAGACTGACAGACAAAATTTGTATCAACTGGATATGATTCTCTTTATGTGCAAGAAAACATAAACACTTAATCAAGTTCATGTCAGGGGGGTTATTCTTATGGGTTTTTTTCTTAAACAGTAAGAACAAAATAGTAATACTCCCTTTATATGATGATTCTTTTTCAGTCTCTCGATTCAGAATACAAGGAAATATGTCGGAAGGTCAGATGATAATTTTTTTCCCTAAAAGTGCTTAAAATCGATTCTCACATTTTAAACTTTGTTCATATTCAAAAGTATTTATGAAATTTAATCAGTTGTATTACGGGAAAAAATTCCAAAATAAATACTATTAAAATATGTCCTGTACGTTTCCTTTTGAATCCAGTCTTTTTGGTTTTCAATAGCTTATGATTTATAATATGTATATTATTAAATATGTGCGGGTTTGAATCTTTTTCAAATCAACACAAATGGTAAAAGTTTTGTTTCGTTAACAACATTATATCAAAAGTTATAATGATTTAAAATTTTGACTGAAGTCTGTTCTCAGTTTATGGTCTCTGGGCCAGGTGTTTAATAGGGAAAAAAATTATATGATAATGAATACAATTAAAACATTTGTTAAAAGTTAAGTTTTGTTACTGATATGAAGGATATAATGATAAAGAACAGTATTCAATATGAAAGTCCACTAAAACAATGCAAAATAGGAGCAGAAAGACGGACTTCCAAAATATCAGAGGTCGGATCAGGTGCCATGGAGGAGTGAGCATCCCCTGCCGACCGTTCACACCCGCCGTGTGCCCTTTGTCATGATTGGGAAAATAATCCCTGCACCAACGCTTATAGGCAAACCTGGAAGGTCGAACTGCGTTTTTAAAAAATGGACTCTGAATTCACAAAAATATTTAATACAAACAAAAGCAGATTAGTTTTCACCTGTAATCAGTCAGAATATATTCTATGTCACGTACATAAATTATTAGGAGTATTTGTTTTTGGTCTCTGAAAAGTTTTTTTTGTGACGAAAGGCGAATTTAGAACATTAAAAGAAAATCTTTTTTTTATAATTTTCTTTTATTCAGTGAGCTACTATTGGTTATTCGTTTTTTATTTATTAATTAACCTATGTTCGATTTATTTTTTTTAAATGACAAGGCATGGTAATTGTCGAATCTGGTCCTTTGTTTGATCTAAACTTTGGAACACAGTTAAAACTATGTTAGTTTGTAATTAAGAACTTAAAATAATGCTTGTTTTAAAATCATCACTACCAGTAATTTTGATTCAAATTTTCCACAGAGACCAAAAGAGGTCGCTGAAATGAGACATTTTCAAAAAAAAATTTATTTTACTGGTACTTCATCAAATTTCATATAATTTTCACTTCGCAGCAATGTTAAGGCCTACTATGAGAAATCAACGGAAAATTGACGTGCAAAAAAGGGGGATTTTTTAAAAATTGAATTTATTTTAATTAAGCTGTTTTATTATCAAAGAACTTTAATTCTAATGGAATTAGCATAGTATAACCCACTCTGTACTGTATGAAGTTTAGTCCCATCAATGGACAGTCACGTGATGAATGCATAGTTCGTGTACTGAATGTGGGTAATTAACAAATTTCAATATCGCAAGGGCATACTCTAGTTGAAATTAAAAATTCAAGCTATTAATTGTTTGTGCATACTTTGTAGTTTTTGAAAAGTGCTGCTGCTTTGAATAGAATTCGCGTTTTATTACTTAAATTTTAAAGTAAATAGGCCAATGTCGAATTATGTTCGACTTTTACCAAATATTTTGTGTACTTATAAAATTTTTTAAAGAAAGCAGCAGCACTTTTCAAGTTAAGGAAAACATCCTTTATCTATATTCAAAAAATGGTTCAGATCTATGCAGTGTATGCCCTTGCGAAAGTACGATTTTACGAGACACCTCGATGTAAAATATACGTAACCTGTACATAAAAACACGACATAATTAATAAAATACATTCTCTTGGTAGTTAATTAATAATTGCACTAAACAAAGGATATACTTTGGTATTAATCGACTATTCAAAACCTGTGAATAATATTCCGTTTGATAATAAAACGCATTTTTCATTGTTAAAAAAATCCTCAATCTGCCTCTCACAAATGAAATACGTCATGTTTGTAATATGACGTCATGTTTAAAGTTCAATCAGTACTATGTTTATAACCAGCTACGTGGGATTTAACTAGCAACTTTTTTGAATGCATTGATAAGTTATATTTTTGTTTATTATGCTAATACAGTTAAAAGTTGCAAATTATTTCATTTTCACGTATTATGAGAAATACATAAAAGTCATATTTTTGCGTGACGTCACAGTAAACTTTTCCCGTATAAATTTCATATAATTTTCACTTCTGCAAGCTTGCCTATCTGAAGTTTTATACACAAGATAGATATGATCCTAGTGTATGAAATATATAAATACATGTATGGTAGATAAGCAAGCTTGTGTTCCATCTTTTCAAAATCAAAATTTGCCATAAAACTGATGAAAATTTGCATAAAAATGAGAACATTCGGAAAATGATATATTTTCTGATCTTTCCTGTGACCTCTAGATCTGTGTATCCCATAACTTATAAAAAAAAAAAATGATTTTTGACAGGAGTGACAAAAGGTTTTCAAGTGATAAACTGTTGAATAAATTTATGCCATCCACATAATTTTTTTGTCAACATAGCATATCATTTCTGAAGATAACTATCTCGTCAAGTGATGAAAACTTTCTGGGACAAACATCGACTTTATATCCAAGATAAGCTATCAAGTTATGTTGCAATAGCTATCTTGACATGACGAGATAACTTTTAATCGCGATACAAGATAAATTATTTTGTCGAGATAGCCATCGCAAAAATACGATAGCTTATCTTGACTGTACAAGATAAAAGTCGGTGTTTATACAAACGTAGAAAGTTATCATCACTTGACGAGATAGTTATGCTTGACGTGATATCCTTGTGTCAGTGCCATTTGTAATATGGCATATTTATGCCATCTACATAACTTTTTGTTAACATAGCATGCCATGCCAAGTCAAAATAATAATCTCGTCAAGTGATGATAAATTGCTGGTTTGTCGACAAAATCGATTTGATATCTTGTCCAGTCAACATAAGTTATCACATTTGTTGCGATAGCTATTTTATTCATGATGCAAGATAAGTTATCTCGTCATGTCAAGAAAGCTATCGCAACAAATGTGATAACTTATCTTGACTGGACAATATATAAAGTCGGTGTTTGAAGACAAACCAGGAAGTTTTCATGACTTGACGAGACACTGATTTGACATGATATGCTATGTTAACAAAAAGATATGTGGATGGCATAAATATGCCACCATAATTTGTATACATTTAAACATTTTCAAGTTATTTGAATACTAGTATAGCTTGCAAAAAGGCAACAAATTAGGGAAAATAAATATTCCTATTGATTCAATTGTCGAAAGTCTTCTTTTATTTTCATTCTTATATACTTTGAAATGTAATTGTAAGAGCAAAAATGGCCACACATGCATGAAAAATTAATACTCTTATAAAGGCCTTTTCTTCCATAATGGAAACCTAAATGTTTACCTGATTTAAATGAATTACTATTCTTCCTAATAAAAAAAAATGATATTAATGTTTCTGGATAGACTGATTAGATCACAAGGTTTTGGTGCATTCGAAAAGCAAAACACATCTTCGAATTTATGTACATACTTGGCACGAACTATTTTCATTATTATGATTTTAAATAATTGCAGGATATGATTCGTGTCCTCTTGTTTAGATAGCCCAACAGTTTGGCTTTCTAAGTGTTAATCAATGTAAAATTCAGTGGACCTTTTATAATTTCTTATTTCTAGGCAAGTTGTTGTAGAAATAAACCGTCCATGATTGCATCAGCTATGATACTATCCTTTCTGACATATTTCATTTTATCACATAAAATCTACAACATGTAGTCATGTTGCAGAAATTATTTGATGAATTGACATATGTCAGACAATACCACAAATGAGTTGAACTTTTAAGGAGGCTAGATGGTCAACAAATAATTTCTTTATTTACCACCAGATATAACTCAAATTTTGGGATATGATATCTTTAGCTGTCAACAATCATTTGACAAATAAAAATTTCATACATATTACTTTTATAATTTGATCATATTTCTACATCTTTATAGCTCTTCTTCTAAAGGAGATAGAAATAGTCTAAAAATGGCTACGACCACCCAGCCTCTTTAATTTTCGTTTCAGTGTATCGTGCGATAAAATTGTATAATATGTATGGTTCATTAACAGATATCATGCAATTCAAAAAATTGTGAAGAACCAGTTTGAAAACTGATGGTCACCATACATTTATAGTTTTGAGTTATGAACATTTATTAAGACACCAACAATAATTATTATTCAAATAGAACACTTGCATCTCATTGATAGTAATTTTATTTTAATGCATTCTTTTTCAGAATCAATCTGTTTTTCACTCCTTGATATCTGAGGGAATACATTCATTAATCTTTGATGATGGTCATAAGTGTAACTTGAAATTATCTTCACTGGAATCAGATATAAAATCCAGTCGTCCGTTTTTGGTCGTAGCCTGAGAAAAATTATGATAGTTATGTGGTCATCAGGGCATAGAGGTAAATAAAATTTGGTTATTATATTAATTTGTATGTGGCTTCAAACACAACTGTATGTTTGATTGCCTATGTGACAATAATGAAAGAATATTTGCAGCAAAGCAGAGAATTTCCATTTAAGAGTTTTTTTTTTAAATGGATGCTATACCATTCAAGTAATCACAAGCACATTAAAATAATCCTTTTTAACATAATTTCGATAGAAATTAGAAAATGTTCAAGACTTACCATTTCTGCAATATTACTGCGGAAATTTAAAGTATACGATGCAGTCTTCCTTATATTCAATGTTTCTATGGTTTTTCCGTTTCCACCGTTTTTTAGAAAATGATATTTATAGCAAAAACAAAACAAAAAAAAACAAAAAAAAATGACACACGATACAGAGGATTGTTACCTTTAGGTTATTAAACATGTATATTAATCATTTAATATTCGCTCTATGAGGAAGAAATAACATCAGCTGGGTTGTGCTTGCGTGCAACATTTCGTAAGCTTTAATGATAAAAAAAATGTATTGCAATTTACCGTGAAAATTTTTAACTGCCAATAAGATTTTTTTTAATTCTTTAAAATGTATGATTTAATATTTGATTTAACAAGCTGCGGTTGTGTGTAACATTTTGTTAGCTTTAATAAAACCACATTGCCTTTTTAAAAAGAATTTGAATTACCAATTAGGGATTTTTTCCATTAAAAAAGCATTTTTAACATTTGAAAACAGGTAAATTGAAGGCGCGCAGCACAGTTAAGGTTACAAAAAGGAGGCAGAGCCTAATTTGTACGGGAAAACTTGACTATGACATCATACACAATATATCTCATACAGCATTTCTTTAAAATACCACAAAATGAGTTGATTTGCTAATTTAACCAGTAAGAAATCATCAAACTACATAAAAACTTACTACAGCATGCTGATAGATGGAGAGAGAGGATATGACTTTTGATGTGAAGAACACAGGCAAATAGAATCAGGAAATATATGGCTCTTGTCCTCTAGATTTGGTGAGAAGAAGGCAGAAAATTGGAATAAGCACCAATTGAGTATAAATGTCACCATTTATTTAAGGAAGGAATTTAATAACTACCACAACTGCGCTCCGTTATTAGCGGACCTTTTTTATATTCATATGAAGTAGAATTTCTGCAAAATCTTATGCGTAAAAAGAAGAAAACAATTGCTGTGGCCTTCAACTCGACATTTAGATACATTGACGACGTATTGTCAATTAAAAATGGTAATTTCCATTCCTACATACATGTATGTACGTCGATACCATATATCCTGGTGAGCTTGAGATAAAAGATACCACAGAGTCTCACACATCTGTTTCATACTTGGATATTTTACTTGGAAAAGACGTCCATGGAAATCTAACAACCAAGCTATATGATAAATATGATGAGTTTAACTTTTTTTATCGTCAACTTCCCTTACTTATGCAGCAATATACCTTCATCACCTGCATACGGAGTGTATATATCTCAGTTGACTCAATACGCAAAAGCTTGAACAATTTCTAAAACGAGATTAATTATTGACAAGCAAGTTGAAGAAACAAGAATATCAGCCGTCTTGTTTAAAGTCATCATTTTGTAAGTTCTATGGTCGATACAATGACCTTGTCAGCAAATACAATTTATTATTGAGTCAAATGCTGACTGACGTTTTTCATACTAATTGTTAGTCCATTATCTATACATAAATAATTTTTCCGTTATTTCACGATCATGACAATGAGCACACGGCGGGTGTGCCGGTCGGCAGGGGATGCTCACTCCTCCATGGCACCTGATCCGACCTCTGATGTTTTGGAGGTCCGTGTTTGCTCTGCTCCCATTTTTTATTGTTTTATGGACTTTGAAATCGAATACTGTTCGTTATCTCCATATCCTGCACAAGTGTATACTGTAAAATCTGGATCTGGGACAGTTTACGCTATATAAAGCGGTCAATAAAAAGAGAGAAATCTTCTCCTATCAAAAGTAATTCCATTATAACTTGGGTAGCTATTCAATTCATTCCTTACAATTATATCTTCCATTATAAAGTATTGAAATTAGGTCATCTTATCTTTAAGTTATCTTTTGAGAATGCCTTCAAATTTAGCAAAATGTAAATGTTACGTAGACAATACAAGTAAAATGATTAACACTATTTTTTTATCCAATCAAAAACTCTTTGCCACCAAAATTTAATACTGTAAATATATTACATTTGGCGTGTACGATATTTGGCGGAAATTCAATTTTCAACAAGTTAGCGTGGATTTGATTTAGCGCTGTCTGAAGTTTTTTGTTATAGGCGTTAATATACAGGACATTTAGCGATGTACTTGAATTAGCGGACTCTGCTTTCCGCCAAAATCGCTAAATAGAATACACCGCTAAATGTAATACGTTTACAGTAATTTAACAGAAAGGCGATGGAAACAATGAATATTAAAATACGCTTATAACAATGTACAAGGGATGTGTGATATTGTTTCGTTATAAGTGTAATTTGTTATATCCTTTAAATTTACAATATATTTCAAAATCATGTGGAATACATATCGCTTCCCTGTAAGCCTCAGGGTGTCTTACTGCATGTCAATCGGTTTGGTACAGAGTGAGGGATACGAGAGAAAATGCACAATGGCATGTAAATAAAACTTAATCATTATACACACATTGATAACATGCATTGAGTGATACTGCAAGGCAAAAAGACTGTTACACTCAATCACTACCACACGTTACCTATTTGTGTCCCCTAGATATTCTGTCCGCACGGGCAAGATCCGTGTATGATCAATTTAAGGGGAGCCACACCACTGACAGATGTAACAATGGTTTTAACAGTTACGTTTAAAATGAGTCCTTGCTAGGCAATTTTCCTGGATTAAATTTTGCTTTAATCTCTCTCTCTCTCTCTCTCTCTCTCTCTCTCTCTCTCTCTCTCTCTCTCTCTCTCTCTCTCTCTCTCTCTCTCTCTCTCTCTCTCTCTCTCTCTCTCTCTCTCTCTCTCTCTCTCTCTCTCTCTCTCTCTCTCTCTCTCTCTCTGGAATCATAACAATAAAGTAAGTAAAATTTTCTAAAGAAACAAAATTTCAATTTTAAAAATAAAATTGAAAAGAAAAAAAAAAAGACATTCCCTACTTAAGACTTTTTTTTTTGCTTTTATTGAAAAATATAAGTTTTTAACATGCATTCTCTGTAAGCATCAAAAAATTCTGGAAACGACATATCTCCGATTTTGATGAAATAGCTTTTATCAGCTAGTCTGCAAGTTGTTCATCCCTTATATCAGAAAAAGTGCCAGATTTTTCTTTGTTTTAGATAATTCGCAAAATGTTCATTTTAACACGTTTTACTATAAATAGAAATGGAAACTCCCCTTATCAATATGCATTTCGGTTACTGCTCTCATAATTGTACGTGTCGGTTACATTATGTCAGTTACAGTTCATGGAAGTTTGACTGCAATTCCCTATCCCTAATTTGAGAAAATATACCAAATCTACATTATTTGTTGAATGTCTATTTATTAATATGCGTTGCTATAGGTAGAAATGAAAAATATCCTTAAACACCGTTTATACATTTCAGTTAAAGCTTTTTAATACTCGTTGCTCACTCGTCAATAACAAATAAAAGCCGTTTGTCTACACTTTGTCCATCCCTAATGACAGAAAAAAGTGCAAAAGTTACATGTTCTCGAGAATTTGCAGTGTCTATTTTTAAACACGTGTTACTATAAATAGAAATGGAAACATCTGCTTCTCATTCTGTATTTCAGTTAATGCTTTCTTTTACTTGTCGGTCACCATATGCCAGTACATGTAGCAGATAATAACAGTTAGTCTGCAATTATTCAGCCGGTATGTGAGAAAAGAGTATTAAATACTACATTTTTCCGATATTTTTCAATACGTCTATTTTTAAACATGTATTACTATAAATAGAAATGGAAACTTCTGCTTATCATGCTGAATTCCAGTGACTGTTCTTTTGTTCTTGCCAGTCACATTATGTCAATTATAGTTAATGACAGTAAGTCTGTAAATTGACCATCTCTAATTTGAGAAATAGTGGAAAATCAACATTTTATAGTTAATTACATATGTGTCTATTTTTAGACATAGTACTATTTATGGATATGAGAACCTATACTCAATAATATGTGAGTTATTATACTATTCACTGTTCTGGTTGATGAAATATTGGAGAAATCTGTATGCATATTATTTATGATTTAGTGGAGCTTCTAAATGATGGAAAATTGACATTTTTCAGTATTTTATGAGATACTAGTATGTTTAAATTAAGGCATTTGAGGCTATAAATAGAAAACGGAAATCCCTGAAAATGATATGCATATTAGTTTATGGTGTCCAGTATCTGTCATTAGCATACTGACTTTTACAGTATATTTCATAATTATCTAGCAATGGCATCTTAAACTCTGCCCAAATTTCATTTTTTTGGATTTTTCTGAAATATGTCTATTTTAGATATATGTTTCTAAAAATAGCATTGAGATCCCACTCCAATTTTTTTCATGAGGGGACACTACTAATACTGAGGTATGACGACACACATAAGATTTGAAATATTTCCGTAGACAATTCTTTTTTATTTAACCTTAAATTTCACAAAAAATGCCAAATTTTCCATTTTTCACATTTTCAGAAACTATGCCATTTTACATGACCATTTTCTATGAGTGGAGTCAATTCTTGAATAACTCATTATATGCCCTGTATTCCTTATAACAGTTGATGTTTTCCTAAGATACAAAGATTTATATTTCAGTTTACTACATAAAGTTAAAATGCATTTTTATTTCCTAAATTTTCATATTTTTGTTTGGTCAAAAATGGCCAAAAATGGCCGAATTTAATGGATCCGTCTTCATTGCAACCGGGTGCACGTGGGAAACTTTTAACACCATATTTGCTGGTTTTGTATCAAGGTGCACCTGAGGTGCAAATTTCATCAAAATCGGTGTTGTGTCGTTTCCAAGCCTTATAATAAACTTTTTGGTGTTTTCAGAGAATGCATGTTAAATATAAAAACCAAATTTTTTAAACATTAAACCCTGAGCAGTTAGCACAACTTCAGGCTTTAAATTTTAAACCGGTTATTTATTTATTTTTATTTTTTTCAATTAAAAAAAAGACCAATGATCAAAACAAAACCTTTCTTGTTTTTAGTTCTTTATCAGAATTAAAATATTCAATTTGTATGTTTTCCGGGACCTTAAATAAAAAAAATCGCCACTGTTGACATATTTATACAAATGAAACTATAGAAAAATCAACTAAAAATGTTTTGAAAAAAAGTAATTCAATTTTTCTCTAAATGCTTTTCTCGCAGTAATGCCTTATTGATGTCACATAGTGTTCCATGTTCAGATGAAAGTCCTATTGTTGCTCGCTATCGGCCACTTTCTGAAAAAAAGTATAAAAATTTGATTTCTTTAAGTTTATATTTGAATTCGGGTTGACTATTCGTTGTAAGAACGTCTTACATATGATTCATGCAATACATACCAAATGTTACATGTACGTGTGCTGTGCAGTGGAATGAGAATAATGCTTGCATATTACTTATTCTTACTCTTAATTTTACATGTATTACGTATAAGAAGGCTCGATGTATGTTTCTTAATGTATTTTAAAATTTTACCAGATTTCGTCCTCTAAAAACAAACAATTTTTTCAAGATAACAATTTCAGCTAATTTGAAATAACTTGCTTGGAATATTTCTGACTGACAGAATTTGTACCAAAGTTAAGAGAATGTGTACCCCCAAAAAATATATGTATTATCACAAGTCTTGTTTTTGAGGTTTAATTTACTAGATGTGTAATATTAATCATTATGAACCCAGCAGTTCCATTTCAGCTCTGCAGGACTGATACGGCTATTGTGACGTCAGGCATATCGCTTATAGCTAAAAATCCTATATTTATCACTAAGTTTATCACAGAAATAACTTTTCATTGAGGTTACGTCGAGCCGTCTTTAACCTGAAAGGCGCCAGGGGTAACATTTTTTAATATGATCATAATTAATTTTTAATCACCTGAAGAGTTTGTGTCTGAAATCTGTGCCTCCCTCCTCCTCCTCCTCCTCCGCCACCTCTTCTTCTGCTTGATCCGCCAAATCTAAATTTTACCCCAGCACCGACTTCGACACCTCTCCCTGCATTTCTACCGAAAGCTGAGAAACCCCAGTTCCCTCTGGATGCACCCACAGTAGCACCCCAACGCCCACCACTATTGATTGATCCCTGGCCCCCAAGATCCCAATTCCCTGTCTTGACTCCTAAACCACCGTCCCACTTTCCACGAAAATTTGTAGCTCCCCAAGCAGTTAAATCTGGCTTCTGGAATTTAATGATGCCTTTTGGAATTTTATCTTCGATCCCTGCACCAACGCTTATAGGCAAACCTGGAAGGTCGAACTGCGTTTTTGGTATTTTCGGCGTCTGGGTTTCAGCCAATGACAGTAATACAAACAAAAGCAGATTAGTTTTCACCTGTAATCAGTCAGAATATATTCTATGTCACGTACATAAATTATTAGGAGTATTTGTTTTTGGTGTCTGAAAAGTTTGTTTTTTTTTTGTGACGAAAGGCGAATTTAGAACATTAAAAGAAAAACTTTTTTTTATAATTTTCTTTTATTCAGTGAGCTACTATTGGTTATTCGTTTTTTATTTATTAATTAACCTATGTTCGATTTATTTTTTTAAATGACAAGGCATGGTAATTGTCGAATCTGGTCCTTTGTTTGATTTAAACTTTGGAACACAGTTAAAATTATGTTAGTTTGTAATTAAGAACTTAAAATAATGCTTGTTTCAAAATCATCACTACCAGTAATTTTGATTCAAAGTTTCCACAGAGACCAAAAGAGGTCGCTGAAATGAGACATTTTCAAAAAAAAAAAATAATTTTACTGGAACTTCATCAAATTTCATATAATTTTTTACTTCTGTAAGCTTGCCTATCTGAAGTTTTATACACAAGATAAATGTGATCCTAGTGTATGAAATATATAAATACATGTATGGTAGATAAGCAAGCTTGTGTTCCATCTTTTCAAAATCAAAATTTGCCATAAAACTGATGAACATTTGCATAAAAATGAGAACATTCGGAAAATGATATATTTTCTGATCTTCCCTGTGACCTCTTGATCGGTGTATCCCATAACTTATAAAAATAATGATTTTTGACAGGAGTGACAAAAGGTTTTCAAGTGATAAACTGTAGAATAGTGGCATATTTATGCCATTCACATAATTTTTTGTCAACATAGCATATCATTTCAAGTCAAGATAACTATCTCGTCAAGTGATGAAACCTTTCTGGTTTATCGACAAACAACGACTTTATATCTTGTCAAGTCAAGATAAGCTATCAAGTTATGTTGCAATAGTATGGTGGCATATTTATGCCATCCACATAATTTTTTGTCAACATCAGATATCACGTCAAGTCAAGATAACTATCTCGTCAAGTGATGATAACTTTCTGGTTTGTCGTCAAACACCGACTTTTATCTTGTACAGTCAAGATAAGCTATCGTATTTTTGCGATGGCTATCTCGACAAAATAATTCATCTTGTTTCGCGATTAAAAGTTATCTCGTCATGTCAAGATAGCTATTGTATGGTGGCATATTTATGCCATCCATATAACTTTTTGTCAACATAAGAAATCACGTCAAGTCAAGATAACTATCGCGTCAAGTCATGAAAACTTTCTGGTTTGTCGTCAAACATCGACTTTTATCTTGTCCAGTCAAGATAAGCTATCGTCTTTTTGCGATAGCTATCTCGCCGAAACGAAATAATTTTATCTTGTATCGCGATTAAAAGTTATCTCGTCATGTCAAGATAGCTATTGCAACAAAACGTGATAGCTTATCTTGACTTGACAAGTTAGTCAGAAAGTTATCATCACTTGACGAGATAGTTATCTTGACTTGACACGATTTATAAACTATGTTGACCAAAAATTATGTAGATGGCATAAAATATGCTACCATAATGGTGGCATATTTATGCCATCCACATATTTTTTTGTTAACATAGCATATCATGTCAAATCAGACTTTATATATCTCGTCACGTTTGTTCGATGCTATTTTAAAACTTCCTGGTTTTTCTTCAAACACCGACTTTATATCTTGTCCAGTCAAGATAAGTTATCACATTTGTTGCGATAGTTATCTTGACATGACGAGATAACTTATCTTGCATCATGAATAAAAATAGCTATCGCAACAAATGTGATATGCCACCATACACCATAATTTGTATACATTTAAACATTTTCAAGTTATTTGAATACTAGTATAGCTTGCAAAAAGGCAACAAATTAGGGAAAATAAATATTCCTATTGATTCAATTGTCGAAAGTCTTCTTTTATTTTCATTCTTATATACTTTTAAATGTAATTGTAAGAGCAAAAATGGCCACATATGCATGAAAAATTAATACTCTAATAAAGGCCTTTTCTTCCATAATGGAAACCTAAATGTTTACATGATTTAAATGAATTACTATTCTTCCTAATAAAAAAAAATGATATTAATGTTTCTGGATAGACTGATAAGATCACAAGGTTTTGGTGCATTCGACAGAAAAGCAAAACACATCTTCGAATTTATGTACATACTTGGCACGAACTATTTTCATTATTGTGATTTTAAAAAAATTGCAGGATATGATTCGTGTCATCTTGTTTAAATAGCCCAACAGTTTGGCTTTCTAAGTGTTAATCAATGTAAAATTCAGTGGACCTTTTATAATTTCTTATTTCTAGGCCAGTTGTTGTAGAAATAAACCGTCCATGATTGCATCAGCTATGATACTATCCTTTCTGACATATTTCATTTTATCAAATAAAATCTACAACATGTAGTCATGTTGCAGAAATTATTTGATGAATGGACATATGTCAGACAATACCACAAATGAGTTGAACTTTTAATTTTTCTTTCAGTGTATCGTGCGATAAAATTGGACCAACAATAATATGTATGCTTCATTAACAGATATCATGCAATTCAAAAAATTGTGAAGAACCATTTTGAAAACTGATGGTCACCATAGATTTATAGTTTTGAGTTATGAACATTTATTAAGACACCAATAATAATTTTTATTCAAATAGAACACTTGCATCTCATTGATAGTAATTCTATTTTAATGCATTCTTTTTCAGAATCAATCTGTTTTTCACTCCTTGATTTCTGAGGGAATACATTCATTAAACTTTGATAATGGTCATAAGTGTAACTTGAAATTATCTTCACTGGAATCAGATATAAAATCCAGTCGTCCGTTTTTGGTCGTAGCCTGAGAAAAATTATGATAGTTAAGTGGTCATCAGGGCATAGAGGTAAATAAAATTTGGTTATTATATTGATTTGTATGTGGCTTCAAACACAACTATATGTTTGATTGCCTGCGTGACAATAATGAAGGAATATTTGCAGCAAAGCAGAGAATTTCCATTTAAGAGTTTTTTTTTTTAAATGGATGCTGTACCATTCAAGTAATCACAAGCACATTAAAATAATCCTTTTTAACATAATTTCGATAGAAATTTGAAAATGTTCAAGACTTACCATTTCTGCAATATTACTGCGGAAATTTATAGTATACAAAGCAGTCTTCCTTATATTCAATGTTTCTATGGTTTTTCCGTTTCCACCATTTTTAGAAATGATATTTATAGCAAAAGACAAACAAAACAATGACACGTGATACAGGTGATTGCTACCTTTAGGTTACTAAACATGTACATTAATCATTTGCTAGTCGCTCTATCAGGAAGATATAATATCAGCTGCTCCTATGTGCAGCATTTTGTTAGTTTTAATAAAATTAATGTCTTTTTTTATAAAAACAATTTGAATAACCCAATTGGGTTTTTTAATTAAAAAACGCATTTTTAACATTTGAAAGCAGGTAAATAGTAGGATCAATGTAATATTGAAAAACTATTTCTATTCTAAAATGCACTACAGAAAAAGAACACAAAGCAGTTGAATGTTCTCTATAATTTTTTATTTAACAAAGTAAACACCCGTAAAACAGGAATGGGACTATGCTGTACAGAAATCTGACGTCACTATTAATAAACTCACATGACTTGTCTCTTTTTTCTTATACTGGGGTTATGCTCTTCTGGCGATTCTTTGGTTCTTTGAACATTCTTTAATCACAAAGGGAACTCGGCGGGAAAATTCAAGTTTTGTTATTTCTCCATCTATAAAAGTTAAAATACAAAGTAAAAAAATGTAGAAAAAATTTGTATTCAGTTATGTCATAATGAGTGAGTTTTTTTTTTATTCAATCACATCACATGATCTATTGATTAACCTTGTAAAAAAAATTGCATCAACAATGTGAAACGTAATGTATTTTCAATTTTCAAAATATCCTTTATAAATAATTTTACCTTTATTGGTGTCTAGATCACTGAATAACTTGGTGCCAAGTTCTGGGTTCTCAAAAAGCTCTGTCATTTCGTCCATTGTGATGACGTCATCATCGTTATTGTCATAAATACGGAACCGGCAAGGGTTGGCCAATATCACAATGTCGTATCTTCGATGAATCTGTTGGAAAGTAAGAAAAAACAATTAATTTGCAAAATAAACCACATAAGCTGAAGATTGGTTAGGTAATGGAAAGAATATTGTACAATAACAAACTATTAAGTGATTTTTCCAGGAAGATCAATGAATTAACTAATGATTTTTTTCATAGATTGTAAAGGACGCAAAATAAGAATTCTATATTTATTATTTGTAGTGTTACAATTAGATGGTGATCGTTTTAAGACTGATATTATCCATTTTTCTACCAAATACATGTACACTGTAACAAATGCAAAGGTTTTATGTTGTTTTACTGCATGATGGTACAAGCAAGCATAATAGAGAAAAATTACTATTAAAGTTTTGAAAATCAAATTTTACAAATAGATTTTGTATTGCGTTTGTATGTTCGTGTAGCATTGAATTCTAAATGATCACCCTCTCTCTATGCAATTTACAATATTTATGTTATACCGAGGAAAACATTATCTGCATACATTACATGGCAAAACCTATCTGAACTTACTTCATCAGTTGACCTTTTGAATTTTATTCCTACGCCAACCCCGGCTTTCCAGCCACCGCCAAAGTCTGTTGAACCAAATGCTTTGAAATTCCAGTTTCCGACTTTTCGTCCGACGGTTAATTTCAGTTCCGGTCCCTTATTTCCGGTACTGAGTCCCAGGTCTGCAGACCAGGGTTGAGCATAAATAAATGACACCAGTGTCGTAAGAGTCAAAAGATAAACGGTAACCTAAAAAAATAAGTGTTTCAAGTATTAGCTTTCAATAAAATTACCAAACTAATCAATTGCATTTTACATTTTACAATACTAACTTTTTTCACTTTTCTAAATAGATTTACTTTATATTTCATTTGTTACGATTCCTCTTGTTGTATATCTATTTTAACTTAGAAATTGCAGTTCTTTGAAGTACTATATATACTCGATTCTCATTATATCGCGGGTTCCATTGTATCGCGGTATATTCCAAAAATTCGGATACATATAGCTCATATCCTTTTTGTTGATGGGCTATCTGTCTGTCATCTAAATGTAATTTTTTGTGATGATTAAAAATAGTGGAACATGCGTCTGAATTTTTTTTTAATTCAAATAAAACGTAATTTTACAGATTTCCAATCCCGTTTTTATTATATTCAGACCACTGCTTTTATAACCTAGTAAAATCCATAATAAATTTCATGTTTTGAAAGTCTTTAGTTTGTATAAGTGTTTATTTTTTATGTAGAATTACATCGTAAATTTAAAAATAAGAATTGAAGTCCATGTCAACTAAAAGTTTTCATGTTTTCCCATACCGCGATACTATGAGACTCTCCAATTTAAAAGGTAAATAAGACTTCATGTTTTAAAAATAGACTACAAATTAAACGATGAAAGCTTGGGAAATAATTTGACACTAAAGTTAGGCCATAGTTTAGTTTATGAATATCATTTGATGAAATTTAAAGTAAAAAATTGGAATTACACTTTTTATGTAAAAGTTTTAAGTACCGCGTTATAATGAGACACCAGTATACAATGTTATATGCAGGTACAAAACATAGGTAATCAGAGATTACAGAGCTCACCTCAACGAATGTTGTCTTTAAGTAAGGCAAAGTCACACAATTAACCAACAAAAAGTGTACATTCCAAAAATGAAAATATTTAAGCAATTTTAATCTGATACTTTGAAATAGACCTACATAAAAAATTTAAACTAGTTCTTCTTCATGAAAATGTTATCAAAATCCAGCATCTGAAGCAAATTTGAGAGTTTTCATCCCTTGATGCAACATTTGTGCAAGTTTGGTTTATACAATGTTATATAAGCCTTATAGTTTTTTGGTAATAGACCTGCACCCATAACTTTTACCTGGTCTATTATCTGAAAAATGTATGTCGAATTCAGCATCTGAAGCAAGTCCATTAGTGTGCATCCTAAGATGTATCGTCCATGCAAGTTTGCTCATTATAGGGCTCATAGTTAATTGGAAATGAAACATGCATCAAAAACTAACATTTTCACTCATCCACAAAAAGTAGGTCAGATACAGCAGCCGAAGCAAGCCCGGTAGTATGCATCCTTAGATGTATCATCCATGCAGGTTTGGTCAACATAGGGCTTATAGTTACTTGGAAATGAAACCTGCACCAAAAACTTTTACCTGTTCACTCAACCAGAAAATGTCGGTCAGATTCAGCATCCAATGCAAGCCCAGTAGTGTGCATCCTTAGATGTATCATCCATGCAAGTTTAGTCAACATAGGGCTTATAGTTACTTTGAAATGAAACCTGCACCAAAAACTTTAACCTGCTCACTCAACCGGAAAATGTAGGTCAGATTCAGCATCCGAAGCAAGCCCAGTAGTATGCATCCTTAGATGTATCATCCATGCAACTTTGGTCAACATAGGTCCTATAGTTACTCGGAAATGAAACCTACACCAAAAACTGCACCAAAAACTTTAACCTGTTCACTCAACCGGAAAATATAGGTCAGATTCAGCATCCGAAGCAAGCCCGGTAGTATGCATCCTTGGATGTATCATCCATGCAAGTTTGGTCAACATAGGGCTTATAGTTATTTGGAAATGAAACCTACACCAAAAACTACACCAAAAATGTTAACCTGCTTCAAAAACATTAACCTGGTCATTCCTTTGCTGAAATTGCAGCATCTGAAACTTTGACTGGTACAGTGAAACACACTAGAACCATCTTCCATGCATGTCTAATAAATATAGGACACAGAAGTTCTTAAAAAGAAAACTGCTCCAAAAAACTTAACCTTAACCTGACGCCGACACCGACGCCAGGGTATACAATGTTATATGTTGAGGTGAGCTAAAAAAAATGTATATATATATATATATATATATATGTTGGATTCTTACCTCCATTTAGGCAAAAAATTCTTAACTTTTTTGATTTAGAAGAATAAAAAAAAAACATACTTAAAAAATAAAACTCAGGAGTTTATGTACTCTAGTAAAACCAGGTGTGTTGTTTTTACAAAATATAATTGAGGAATTCCCTTTACTAGGCTTGACGTGGGAATAAATTAATTCTCATTTAACCAAAATGGTCTTGACGTTTGACACATGTTTATGATATGCATCGTTACACCAACAAGACAAAGCAAAGGGAAAAACCAAACCTTAATTTGTCGTCATTTGAACGAAAAGGGTTTCCTCATATCTTTTACTTGATGTGATACATAGAATTTTAGTTAAACTATTACATTTTATGAAATGTATTACTGGATGTATCACTGAAAGAACGAAATAAATATTTTCGATGCCATTTTTACCTTGTAATTCTTTTTTTTTTTATTTAGGTACCGTTTGAAAATTTTCCATGACCAGTCGACAGTTGGGGACTGCAAATTTAGACATATTCTGGATTCATCGCGCGTAAGACCATTGAGCATCGAAGGATCTATTAAAATGTATGTTCCGAAATCAACTGTGACATGCAGGACGTTGTCGTAAATGTCAACAGTGGGACCGCAGTGGTTTTCTTGATTTGCAACAAAATTCTGAAAACAGTATTTTTTGATTTGTTGATTTGCAATATTCTCTCAAAGAAAATAGGACTTTTAACTATTAGATTTTTTTAATATTTATTTTTAAATATGCCATTCACCTCCGAAATAGGATAAATAATTTATCTACTTTTCTTATACTGATTGTTAGGCCATTATTTACACACAAGATTTTGTACGGATTTTTCCGTTTTTTACCGAACATTAGGAAAACACGGCGGGTGTGATCGGTCGGCAGGGAATGATCACTCCTTCATTGCTCCTAACCCCTGATGTTCTAGAGGTTCGTTTTTGCTCTGTCTTCTATTTTGTAATGTTTAATGGCTTTTGAGCTCAAAAACTGTTCTTTATCTTCTTATATTTCATAAATTAGCACTAAACACAAATGCGCCATTTACTGCATATATACTGTAAATGATGTATTGGCGGTATTAATCAATCAGCGCATCGTCTAAGTACCCAAACAGTATTTCTTAACACCGCCTTCTTAATTTAATTTAATCAATATTTTATCATGTAAATTTAGATTACATAATTGAATTTCCCTTCTTCTTCTATGCCCAAGTTAAGAAAGAAAACACATATACAAAATTAAATTATTTAATGGAAACATCACTCACTTAGATATGAAATAAACAGCACTTCAACTTACACATTTAAAAAAAAACAAAAAACAACGTATTCTCTCAGTCTATCTTTCGAATCCAAAATCAACAAAGTCTGTGTAGATAAATTTGAGCATGCATTAGTCCTCGTGTAGTATTTTTACAATAGTTCTATTGATAACACAAAAAATAAAGTGTTTCATGGCAGTTTTAGATAAAACTATCTTTCCTTTTTTCACACAAGATTTTCCATGGTTATTCTCTATGCTTATCGGTTTTTTTTCAAGTTTTACTGTCCACAAATCACAGTTACGTGTACCTCCCTGATGTGTAGTCAAGTACATGTATAACTTTAAAACAAATTAAGAAACATGAGTTTGATTTTTTTTTTTACATGCACAAAGGTCATGACAGCTAATTTAGAGAATTTAACAAATGTATCTATTAAGATTGAAAAAAGGTGGATTTCATTTTGCTGCTGAAGCATAATACTTGGGAAGTTATAAACCTAAATAACAAAAATATATCGGGGTATGCAATTTGAAGCAAACTTGGTTGATTTTTTCACAGGCCATGAAGGTACAGTGACACTGCAGGTACATGTACATACCATATTTTCAATAAAAAAAAAATCACTTTTTCAAAAAATTGATTAAACTTATCCCCAAAAAACCAATATCCACACATGCCTTCTATCATTTATAAGAAATTTATATCCATCACTCCAAGAGAAAAATGTACCCAGGTGTTAAAGCACAAAAAGTTGAGTCTATCGGTATTTTTATAATGGGGAATAGATGATAAGGAAATAAAACGTAATTGACAGGAATTGGTTTTTTTAGATGGGGGGTGGGTGGGCTAAGTAGCAACTGCTTCTGATATTACGCTGCTTTGATTCAAATATCATTAAGCGTTGCAATGCAACGCTTAATGTCATAATTCATTGCATTAATAGTTGACATGCTCATCCGCTTCATGAAATAATTCTTCCATGAAGCCGCTATTTAGCATTAGCGGTTGAAAAGATCAAACATTTAAGGCATTAAGTGTTACAGTTGCAACGCTTTATGATATTTGTATCATTAAGCAGCATTATATCATTAGCAGTTGCTACAGGGCTATAAATTGCAAAACTTAAAGCAAACAAGACTGACAAGATGACAAGCAGCTAACTACCAGTAAAATGGGACTTACTTAACCATATACAAATTATGCTTGTGACAGACTGACTAAGACATATAAAAACAACTACTGAAACATTATCAGGACTAGTATGTTCTGAATTGTGGAAAAAATCCATGTAACGATAGATTATAAATACATATATCTGAATGCTAGGGAGGTAAAAATATAACAAACCTAAGATTCACTCACATGCAAATTTCTCTCAACGTTATCAAACGTCTACACTTATACATACATGTATACTTAAACCAAATTTTATATACTGTAAAATCACATATTTCCATGGGGTCAAATTTTCCTGGTTTGCAGCAAAACTCATGGTTCGTTGGGATTTAATTTTATGGATGAAGAATTGTCGAGTAGTTATGTTTGTAACATTTTACATTTCCTGGTGTACATGAATTTGTGGGTCTCTAGATTCTTCAAAAACAACAAAAAATTAAACCCCAACGAAAATTTGTGATTTCACAGTAAAAGGATTTTTTACTTCTTCAGAATTTATTGTGATTTCTACATAAAATTTAACATATATATACTTTTCATAATAATGAAAAGGATTGTTTTTGCATGAACCCACTAATTAGTATTGAAGCCTAAAGAAGTTCAAATTGCTAACCAATCACCAGTTTTTAGCTTAAACATCTTTCAGTTTTTGTAAGTGTACCACAATTCCATGAAGATAGTCAATTTTAAGAATCGTCATCAACATTAAAGCAAAATAGCTTCTTTGAAAAATGCATGAACACATCTCTTTGAAATAATATCAAATTTCACATATGTATGATATGCATTTGTATAAGTGCCATGTGATAGAAACTTGGAAATAAACTTGGGTTTATGTACTTAAACTACATGTAATAATTCATTCATACATGTACCAGGTGTTGAAGCAATGTAAAACTTAACTTTAATAATATATATCTTATTTGTCTCTGAATTACTATAAACGTAATGCTATCTTGACCAACAACAGAGCAAAAAAAATGCCTTTATATATTAACATAGGAAGGGAAAACTCTGAAAAACATAAGAGTATGATGCATTCTGAAAATCAGAATATTAAAAAATATTTCTTGCCTAAACTACCTATAACTTATCAAACATTTATCACTCATCAATTTTGGCTTCTTCTCACACAACATATCACATTTCATTTAAATATCTTAAAATTTCTACACAATAATCCATAACAAGTTTGTTAATAATCAAAATGACTACAATATTTTCTCCTATAAATATCTAAATGCCGCATTCTAATTAGGTCCCATCCTCTTCGTCCACGTGGAAGTAGGTAAAGCTTCTAAGGTAATGTAGAGAGATGTCGTACACTGTGAAGCTTGTGCCGACCGCGATGGGACCTTTGATCCAGTTCATGCTGAGTCCCTTATATAGGCCTCTCCAGCTCTCCGTCCTCCAGACTAAACACACAGTCTGATAGATAGAGGTGTACTCATGACTGGTACCCATCACACCTGTAATACAGGTAAAAATTAACATAATTAATTAGTAATTAATACACAATTAGGGGTGTTATTATTAATAACACAGGTAAAAATTAACATAATTAACTATTAATTAACACAGTCTTATAGGAGTGTCTGTGAATCATGACTGGTACCCATCACATCTGTTAAACAGGTAAAATTCATTTACATAATAATTGGTATTTAACACTTGTCTTAAAGAGTGGTTCAAATCTAACCCACCCACCCCTAACCCCCCAAACCGAGAAACATGGAAAATGAATCTGCACTAAGAATGGCTTCCATATTTCTTTTACTAATCAAGACTTGAAATGTAATTTTTGTGACTAAATCTTTTTCCTTGTATTGATTTTAATACATTTTCTTTCTTTTTATGAGAATAATTAATTACGACAAGAATTTCTCATAGCTGAAGTCGCTGCATGGCGCAGTGGTAAGAGCCTCTGCTCTAGAGTCGCGAAGTACAGAGTTGATCCTTAAGTCACATGTTCGAATCCCACTGTGGGATGTGGAGACCAGTCCTTCAGATGAGATCGTATAAACCGAGGTCCCGTGTCGCAGTAGAAGCTGACATGAAAAAGACCTCTCCCTACTCAAAGGCCCTGAGTGCTAAGATTAGGACAAAATTTGTAGCTCTCGACCGGCAAGTGGTGGTGTTTCCATATGAGTGAAAAATTCTTGAGAGGGGTGTTAAACAACATTCAATCAATTAATCTAAAAGCTGAAGTTCTAGGTCTTTTGTTTATAAAACAGCTAAGCCGTGTTACTACATCTCCTCTCACCTGCTGTTTGCATCCTCCGTCTGACAATGTCTAGTGGGTAGGAGGCAGATTGTCCTATTAAGCCGGCCACAGCTCCAAAGCTCATCCTCTCTATAGGGCTCGGGTCCCTACCATCACAGTAACCTGCAATGTGTACAAAACGTAGACTTTAATACAGAAATCCTTAAAAGTTAAAAGATAAAAGTTATTCAAACCACAAAGGACAAAACAAAATGTTTGGCTATTTTTATAACCTTTTTAAACTTTCAATTTCTACCAATTGTTTTGGAAGATATCCAATATTTTGATCTCTTTCTTCTTTTATAAAAAAACTTTTGAGAGTAAAAAAAATTTCAGTACTTTGTATATCACGAGAAATAATACTTATCATAAGAGTTTGATTTTGTGCTCCTAATTTAAATAGAAAGATTATTTCATTAGGAAAACCTGCTATGAAATCCAAAGTAAGGTTTTCATTTTTAATGAGTTTCACCTTTTCTCTGAGACACAAAAAGAAGATTCCAGTATATAGAAATTAAATCCTGAATATTCTTTGAAAATTATCTATTGTGAAATCATCTGATAATTTCAAAATCAATCTCTCCCTTTACACTCAATCTGATAAACTTGACAGTTACTTTTTAAGACATTAGCAATGCTATTTTGAACTTTTGCTATTTCCTGTATAATTTCAAGGTGTATTATGGTAATGCTGAACACTTCCTCTACATTTAATTTTGAGGGAACACCAGCTTTAACTATATTTTGCTTCATTTTTCTTCAAAAATGACAATTTTTATCATTCCATATCTGTTCTAAATTCCCCAAAATGTATGCTGAATTCTTTCTCAGAGCTGCCAACATTCTGAAATGACAAATAGTAAGGTTTGGTCTAGGAACCACATAGGCCCCCTGCTGCTGAAGATGTTTTGTAAATTGACATGCAATCTGAGGCATGTTTCCATTTTGTATACTTTAATACATTGACATGAATGTGATCGGCCTTTATAAACCGAAACGCAGATACAAGCAAGCGTTGTAAGAATTATGAGTATATTATAACAGTAGAAACTATAGAGGGCAAGCTATGAAAATACCGGTATTACAAACTTTGAAGGAGAAAAACTGAAATCGGAAGAATATAAAGAGAAATCGTAAGGTGTATTTTAGCTGCTGATTTCGTACGCCTTATGCCAAAATCGTAAGGGTTGGCAGCTCTGCTTTCTTTCTTTTCTTTTTTTTCGGTTGGGATGGGATCTATGAACATCTGAAGAGACTATGATTTTTAAGTAAAAATTTGGAAAATGATCAAGGGGTAAGGTAAATTTCAAGTTGCTGTCCTTAAAAAAAGGACTGCAATATATGTGGACCATATGCATGTGTTTCTAACTGAAATTCAATTTAAGAAAATTTCTATGTGTAGTGAATGTTCGTGTAGGTTTGCTAACATTTTCTACAATGTTCTGCCTACTTTTGACTGATTGTAGTCTTAAAGCAAATTTGTTAATTTAATCTCGGATTAGCCTTTAGTTTTGTCAGTTTAAAAAATCGGACTATTTTGATACATGTAACCCATAATGGCTGGGATTTGACACCTGTTCTGGATTTATACGGAAAAAATCTATCATAGGAAAAATGGAATTTTTTTTCGGAGCCCCCCACCCCCCTCCCCCACATTAAAAACCGTTGCTACAGACCTCTATCAATTTCTTTTGCGGGCCTTGATGCACAAAACTATTGCCGGTGAAAATTTGTTCTATCTTTTAAAAGCTAGAACTAGTCGTTGAATGACATTTTTTAATCAAGTTGTTATTAAGTTGCATGTATTAGTAATAATAAACTACTTTTGAAAATGCTAGCGCTTCCCAGGGTTGTGTCATAGAATCAATGTTTAGTTTGTTTATAAAAGTATATGTATAAGAGTGAAATTCGGATCCGCCAATGAATATATAAATACGATTTGCGGATTTAAAAGCGCGATTTGCCAATAAATGGCATATTCTAATTCAAATAAGGCGAGTTATTCTACGGGCAAGTTGCTTAAGGTGATTTACTAAGATTTTGACACACTTAGCCTGTCGTTTGCCCATGGCATCCGGTTTAACCTCGTTTATATGTTTACTGCGTGGACCTCAGGGTCCATGCAGTAAGGAACATGTTATGTATAACCTAAACTAATCAAATTTACTTACAAAAGAATAATAGATTTATCCCAGTTCAAACTCTCTGTCATGGCTTAATTTTACCTATGTACAATCATACCTGCATGCCATTTCTTCAGAGTTTCATATGTGAAGAAGCTGGCCCCTGAGTAAGGAATGGACCCCAGCACTGTGGGGGTGAAGCCCCTGTAGAGGGTAGCCACACCCTCAGCCTTCACTATGTGTCTAAACACTGACCATAGGTTACTATATCTAGAAATCATTAAAATAAAAACTCTGGACTTGAATTCAATCAGGAAACATTAAAACAAAGAATTACAACATAATATTTAAGTGAAACTACATAGACTAGTTGTGATGCTGTACACATAAAATTTCCATGTTGTTGCAAACCAATAAGCTTATCAATTGATAAAATTCCATAATTGACAGCAACTTACAAAGACTTCATTGTGACTTACTCAGACTTGACTGTGATTTACTCAGAATTGACTGTGATTTACTCAGAATTGATTGTGACTTACTCAGACTTGACTGTGACTTACTCAGACTTGACTGTGACTTAGTCAGACTTGATTGTGACTTACTCTGACTTGACTTTGACTTACTTGATAGTGACTAACTCAGACTCGATGCCTTACTGAGACTTGACTGTAATTAACTGAGATTTGACTGTGACTGTGACTTACTGAGACTTGACTGTGACTTACTGAGACTTGACTGTGACTTACTGAGACTTGACTGTGACAGCCATTCTAGCCCTCATCAGGTCCAGGGGATAGGTTAGTGAAGAGGAGGTAACTCCTGCTAGAGACCCGGCCAGGAAACGCAGATGTGGAGGAAGATGCCTGAAAAATGGAGAGCAGCCTTCAATATAAATAAATTACAAGAGAAATGTATGAACAACCTGAAATCAATTTTTGGATAGTTTACATCAAGGTAATTGAATAATCTTTTGATTTTCAACTAACATTGAGTTTTCTCAGCATTTATTATATTCCTCGTAAAAAGCAAATGTTATGTTATGCATACTGATTCCATCTTTACCAGCTCACCATTAATGATACAACACATTAAAAGCATACATTATAGACTTAGTATTTTTGCATGTCCCTGAAAAGCAATAACCAAACTTGCTCATGAGAAACATTTTTTACATTTATAGACTGTGTTTTCTCTTTATTTCACAGTAAAGGGTTTATAGACATCAATTATAAATGGCTTTGAACAAAATCTCTGTGAACCTGTCCTAACAACAATTAAATTTGGATATTTTTCATTTCACAGTTCTTTGTCTTATGAGAATTTTTTACAAAGACTTACTGTTTCCGTTTGTCTGTGCTTAGCAGTCTTTTATACTGTTCGTGAGAGGCGTACTGTATGGAAGCGTAAGGTATGATTCTGACCATGGTAGCAGAGTTCCCCCTCCACAGTCTAGTGAAGCCTTCCTTCTTCACTGTGTCTACCAGGAAAAGGATGGCTCCCCTAAAGGAGAACTGCTTATGGGAGACTGAAAAGAAATCAACAAAGATACAGTTAAATGTTGATATCGTTAATTTGCACAGAGTGAAATAAGAAAAAAAAGATGACTTGGGCTCCCCTAGAGAACATATATACATTGAAAAATGATCTGAAACCCTACAACCAATCCTCCCAAAAGATGTGCACATTCAAAAAAAAAAAACAATATATTTTTTCTTCTATTTATTTCACTGAGCTGAATGATTTTTTGTGGGTATGGACCCCCCAAGCCCTAGACCCCCACCCCAGAAAAAAAATCCTGGATCTGGACAGAATGAATTTAATAGCTGTACAATTTGTTTTTGAATAACCTGGGTTGGGGGAAACATGCTTTATCCCAAGCTACACTGTAAATGTTGGGTTGGTTATTCATTCCTTTTAATTAAATCTTGATCCATTTAGTGCAAAAAGATTAAATGATTAAAAATGACTTCAAGAGGTACAAAATGTAACTCTAAGGTCAGGCAGATCAATACATTGTTGATGCCATTAATTCAAGTCATTGTGACACAGAGAGTACAGATTATGCAAAATATTCATAAATATTTCTTTGTAACAACCCAATAAGCGGTGCATCCCTAAAAAAAAAAAGAATATATAATATAAAGTAAGGCAGCATTCCTCATTGATCCTGATGCAAATTACATCACTTCCATAAGCCACAGTGACACATGGACAAACTAACCCTACCATCCACACATACAAGTGTGTTCCATTATCTCTCTAACTCTGTTTGGAGGGGGGATAATTAAGTTGATCTTTGTTCTGTCTGGGGGTTGGGGGGGACTATCACTCTCTAACTCTGTTGGAGGGGGATAATTAAGTTCTGTAGATCTGTACGTACTCTGGAAGTTGATCTTTGTTCTGTCTAGCGGGGCTATCACTGTCTTAGCCACAGCTCCTGCCATTGCTCCTGCCATTAGAGAGGTGATGATCTTACTGTGGTTTGACACCTTTGTAAAAAAAAACAGTAGAAAGTTTAATCCAGTATGCAAATACCATATTCTTGTGTATACATGCACCATTCCCTTTCTTTTCTGAAAGAGTACAATAAATTATTAAGCTGATGTAGCAATGTTGATATCAGATAAGGGATATTTAACATGTTTAAGTATTTATTGCCTTTCTGTATTTTTATTGGATCATGATATGCTAATAGTTTACCGGAAAAAAGTACTAATAATGTATGTAAACTCAGTATATCTATTGTAAAATTGTTAATATATTTGAAATAAACTCTCATAGTATAATCATTATTCTCTAGCAATATGGATTTGTTGAAAAAGAGGGTAAACTAAATTTCTTGGAATGAAATTCCTTCTTGACCACATCTGACCCCGATTAATGCTGGCCTGTCATTTATATGATTAAGATTTTTATTATCAAAACTCACTTTTAAATTGATTTCGTGCTCTCGATGAGTTATCTCCTCTTCGTTGATCTCCCGCTCTGCCATTTTGGCCTGGATATCTCGCATGGATGCCCCCCGCATGGCTATTTCTGGAATTATCTGGTCAGCCTTTTCTCTCTTCATTGTCTCTTGATTATGCATTGATAAAGTCTTAACCGTGTTTTTATACAGTATAATGCCCTTGATGCGTTCCAGAGCTGTAGCCTGAACACACAACTATCTGTCAATTAAATTTTCTTTTTCTCTACATTTTGCTCACCTGAAAAAAGAAAATTTATAAGAGTTAATTTGAAAGAAAAGCCATCAAAATAATTTTTCATTATTCATTGGACAAGATAGATTTAGTATTAATTGCTATAAAAATGTTCATTGAAACAGGATTTTTTTTTTTTTTTTTTTTTTTTTTTTTTTTGAGAAATTATAAATCTTTTAAATAAAACAGTCTTTTCCCCCCTGGTAACTAAAAAAATCAAAGTACTGAAAAAAAAGGTTAGGTAGGAGGCTATTTTGACCTGTCAGATTCATTTTTTATTGTTGGCCTTAGAATCATGCTAATGACAGTATGGAACAAGGTATTGATGATTTCCTAAAACCAATAAAATGAAACTTTCAAATTAATGAAACTAGAAGGTGTCTTTTCTTTTTATGTCAGTACATACCTACCTCCTTCAAAAACATTCCCAATATCCCATAGTGATACACAGTGAAACAGTATTACTTTTCAGCAAACCATTGCAACAAAGCAATGCAGTTTATCTGTATTTTATCCTCTATATTTACACTGGTACAATCAATGCTTGAATAAAGGATATTAAATACACATTATGTCATATATATCAATATGCTACCCACATCGTCATTTATAACGTCAGAGACATATATACAAACTTTATGTATAGATCCCTGATAACATGCATAGTTTATTACATAATTTTACAATAAATGTTTGAAAGATCAAAACAAAAGTTATACAATCATAACAGAACATGGTGAAAGTATTAAAGTAATAAGTGTATAATTTCATTTTGAGTGAAAAAAATACCTTTGAAAAAGAAATTGCATTAAACTATTTAATAACTACAGGAAACCTTTTTTTATGCAATCCATAACTTATGCTTATGCAATATCCAAGTAGAATAGGGTAATGTGCCCTCCAAATAAACATTTACTATGACACAAGTGTTTCTGCTTTTGCAATTTCAGTAAAGGCATGAATATTTACTTCTCTCCTTTAAATTCGTGGAAAAGACAACGAGAGGGCAACGCAAGGGTTATGCTGAATTACTGCCTGTCGGCTAACGGGCAGCGACCGAATTGTTAACCCCCCAACCATGACCGTTAGTCTCAGAAGCAATTTATGTCCCTCCGAAATCCACGCAGACGACAAATTCTCCATGAATAATTTTGAACAAGGGAAAATAATTTATTGAAATGACTTACTACTTCGTTGATATGCCCGATGCAAGTTAAACAAGATGCACAAAAATTGGGGGTGTTTTCATTCTGTTTACATCATCGATATTGTCCTCTCGACGCAGATGTGTTGATTTCAGAGTTACCTCCCGTTAAAAGTGCAGTAACGCACGGAATGTTTTTTGTAGTTTTATAATCTCCTTTCAATTTCTATTTTGTGGTAAACAAACTATTTTGAGTAAGAATATTTATTTGACATTGTTTTACCCATTATTTTTCCCAAAAATATTTTTTTCCTAAAATTTTGTAGGACTGCAGAAAAAATGTTTACAAAGGGAAGTAATTCATATTTTTCTCCAACAAAATGGTAAGTGCTGCAATTTGTTTGTCCATTTTGTTCGTTCTTATTTGTTTCAACCATTTCAATTCTTGTGAAAATCGCTTTGTTTGTGTTTTCAGGCCAAATTCTTCAGTCAGACTGATATAGATAGTAAGTACTAATCGTTTTTGTCCAATCTCACCTGAGAAGTTCATACCTGTTCTCTGTGACCACGCCCACATTCCTGGAACAAACTCCATCCTCGATTCGTTTGTTTTGTATTTATTTATTTACTTCTTTACACATATTGTTATTGTACTTGTATTCCCCCCGAACAGCTAGACATGATACACACCTCACTGATCTTTATTGTTTTGTGTTTCCGCCAATTATTTATCTTATTTCAGCACTTAAGCATTGAATTCATATTTTTTGTCTTGGTCCTATAACACACCTGGCCGTGCCGGCAAATTGAATACAGCGCGTTAGCGCGGTATGATAATTTGTCGGCACGGCCAGGTGTGTTCAGCCAAAAATATGAATTCAATGACTTCCTATTTACATTCTCTAATTTTCCTTCTTCATAATTGCTTATTTTGTTTACATTTAATGTGAATTTACACACCTTCAAAACTAACTTGGTTAATAGACGTAAGAGCCGTTTGTGACGTCAGGTGACGTTGCAAAGTTAAATTACGCAAACAAACATTGCGATTTAAAAAGTGACAAATTAATTCTTAACGCACATTACGTTAATTTCTACGTTAATTTTTCAGGGTTGTAGTTTTTCATTAAATTGAAATAAAACATTTTACATTTTGGTGTGTCTCGAGTATTGAAAGTGCATATAGTTCCTACTGTGTATTCTAACGCGCGGTGACAAGGTTTCGCGTGTGTTATAGAAATTTGAACGTCGTGGATTTCTAATGGATTTGATAAGGAAAATTATACTGAATGTAAATATAATCACTTGTTTAGCTTTATATCTTGAATTAGCTGTATACGGTACAGGTATTTTTAAAGTAAATTCAAAATTGCTTAATATTTAATGCAATGTCTCAGATGTCTCAGCAGGAATGAGTATGCCTCAATTATATTTATCAAGTCATAATAATCAGTTACTCTACTTTGTAACCAGATTTCACATCCTTCAAAATATTTTCATTCAAAAAAGTTATTTAAAGTTATGCAACAAGAAATGGAGTATGATCTGTTTTGTTGCACATTAAAATAAATATTGACATGTTGTTTTGTAGAGTTCAAGGAATGTTTCTTCTTCCATGCCAGGAGGGGGCACATCGCTAATGAACAGGAGTTGTCGCTGGTTATGAGGTCCCTGGGGTATAGCCCAACCCCTCAGGAAGTCTCCAAGTACTTTAATAAGTACATCAAAGGTAAACCAATCTGATCACTCTATCATTTTCCTTTCTACAAATTTTACTGCACTGTATTAAAAGTGTCTGTATTACATGTATTATAAATATAGACCTGTTTGTATCAGAAGCAAATTGAAGGGGGAAGAGGCTAATAGAAAGTGAAGTGGGGGGGGGGGGGGGCTATCCCCCACAGAAAAAGTATGCTCTAATTTTCAAAGCCAATATTACCGTATAATCCCTATTAACCACCCCTGCCCCTGTAAGTGCCCCCTTAGGTCTTTTTCAATTGTTAGGAAATTAGGGCCCCCTCATCGTTGGAAATTAAACCTCCGGGTGATCTCGTCTTTACTTATCAAATAAAAACGAGATCACCCGTGGGTTTCTGATGATGTGGTCCCCTGTACAGTGATTAAAATTATCAAGAATTGTATCAAAAGTCTAACCAAAATTTGAAGGAAGTGAAAATGAAATTTGCATGTTTATTATCCAATTTCTTGGTGGAAAATGATTCATTTAGCATAATTTGGGTGGATTATCTTCATCTAAAGTACATTTTGAAGATTCTTTGAATTTATTTATTTTTTTAAAAATATTTTTTGAAGGTAAGATATGATATTAAATATTACAAAGAGAATACCAAAATAACCGCCCCCTTTTTCGCAATTTTCTAAACGCCCGGGGCAGTTAATAGGGATTAAATACGTTACATAAAATCTCTATCTTTACAAAAAAGGAGGATGGGTGGGCTAAGCCCCCAGATTTCAATGCCAATATAATGTTATTATATCTTGGTGGGGGGGGGGGGGGGGGAAGAGGGAGGGGGCTAAGGCGCCCCTACCCTTTGGTTCTGACATCTATGATATGAATAGTATACAACATGTACAGTAAAATTTGTTTAATCAGTACACCTCTTATTCCTTATAAATTTGCCAGATAGGACAACATTCTAGTCAAGGTTACAATAAAGAGGTTAATTTACTGAAAGTGACTTAAAGTGACCATCATATACATGTCTCAGTGCTAATTAATTATTATTCTGTTTTACTCTAGAGAGTAACTTTACAATTATTTAATGTGCTATATGGCTGCTATCAATGTTTTGAGCTGAGAAGAAGAACAAGGAGTAATTTTTTTTTAAATTCTTTCAGACAATAAAATAGAATTTGCTTCCTTCCTTGAGGCTATGCATGATCATACTAGTGTAGAGAAACCCGAAAAAGAATTATTGGATGCTTTCAAGTCACATGACACCGAGAGGCGGGGCTATGTAAATGCTGCTGAGGTTCAACATATCATGATGAACATGGGAGAAAAACTAAGTAGACAAGAGGGTATGTAAATCATATCATACTTTAACACACTCTCTATCATTGGCTGATACATTAACCTCTGTCATTGGACTGTGATCAGAAGAGCTTTGTGCCAACACCTACTGCAATAGGGGACTTCATATATATATACATTTGTACCGGTCCCACAGTGTAAACCCATGATGTAAGGATGTAAGGATCAACCCCTTACTCTGTGACTCCAACACCTACCACTGGGCCAACACAGGTGTGATTTAGTGCTATTTAGAATGAAATGCTTTAATGATCTTTAATATTTGCAAGAAATCAGTAGGGCTGGGCAAAAATATCGATATTTGAATATAAATATTGCAATACAATGACAAAAAATATCGTATTGCAATACGATTTTGTAATATCGATATATTGGCAATATGCTTAGATTAAGGAATTTTGTCATTAAATATAACAAGAGGCCCATCACACCCCTGAGTAACTAGGGTGTGACTCTTTACCAGACTTGCTATACCACTACCATGCAACAACCCCCTTGGGGTGTTATTTTAAAACTTTATTTAGACATGAAATGCTTTCAATTTTAATAGTGGTTCTTGAAAAGAAGATTTTTAAAGATTTGTTCTATATATTTCTATGTAAAAAATTTTGTGAGCTATGCTTTTAACAATCAAATATTACACTACCCAAGGATGCTTCCACATTTTTTTCATGGCCCAGTGTTTGAGAAGAAGATTTTTAAAGATTTGTTCTATATATTTCTATGTAAAACTTGGAACATTCCCTACCCCCGGGGGTCATGCTTTTCAAAATTTAATATTACAACCAAGTTCATAAGTTTGTCTGGCCCAGTGGATCTTGAGAAGAAGATTTTCAAAGATTTGTTCTATATATTTCTATGTAAAATTTGGATTCCCTATTGTGGCCCCGCCCTACCACCGGGGGTCATGATTTTAACAATTTAATAACACTACCCAAGGATGCTTTAAGTTTCAGCTTTCCTGGCCCAGTGGTTATTGAGAAGAAGATTTTTTTGACCCCACCCTATATCTCCCCTTGTAAGGGGACTTGGATTTTAACAATTTAAACTTCCCTTCACCCAAGGATGCTTTGTACCAAGTTTGGTTAGCATGAGAAGAAGGAAAATGTTTAAAATTGGTTGCTAGACAGACGGAAAAAGGATAAAATGTGATCTCCATTTGAGTGCTAAAAATGCATATGAAAGTTTGTTATAAACAGTAAGACAGAAGTTGTTTTGTGGGAACATTTCAGAGCATAACGTTAATGAAATCAACAAGATTTTTTTCTGCGTTGGTTACTTATCATATTTCTGTACATCTTGCATGTAAATTAAAGTAAATATAGTAAGAAAATGCCATTTAAATTACATTGAAAATATTGCAATACATATCGCAATACAGTTATAAATATCGCAATATATCATAATACGAAATCTCGGGCCAATACCCAGCCCTAAAAATCAGAGTATGAGTATTGCAATCTGGGCAGTTATTTTCATTACTTTTCCCATAATGATGAAGTTAACATGTCTGATTAGAAAGCTGGTGTGTAGATTGACTTGTCCAATGAAAGACGCATGTAGGGTTGGACAAAGTCTTAATGTTGCACGGGCCTAGTAATAGTACTTCAGAGCCATGAAGCAAGGAGTTTATCTTTATAGTTTGGATTTTAATTCCACTGGGACCGTACGAGGAGACCAGTCCTTTAAGTCCTTTAGAGGAGGCCATATAAACCGAGGTCAAGTTTAGCAGTAGGTGTTAGCAAGAAAGCGATTCCTCACTCTTCAGTAGCTGTAAGTGCAGAGTATATAGGTCTCACTCTCAATGATCTGTGGTCCTCCACCAGCAATAAATGGTTTTCCATTGAGGTAATTTTCGCAAGAGTTATTCCCTTTGGCCGCCATGTTGTAGGGCAACATTCCCAGATCCCTTCATTATTCAACCAAGTTTGTTAGACTGGTTACTGAGGTAAATTAAGTTAAAACTTTTTCTTATGAAAACATGTTTATTAAAGCCTCTATTAATTCATAATCTTGAGATTGTAAATATTTTCCCCCATATATTTCTGGCATGGATGTTTAAAACTGGTTGCTCAAAGAGGAAAATTCACTGCTTTGCCCTACAAGATGGCAGCTAAGGGGGAAAAACTCTGAGGCAAAATATGCTGCAAAATATGTATGTCATAGCAAAACCATCTATTTGTGGCATCTCCATTTGAGTGAAAAATTCTTTAAAGAGTAAAAAATATTTGAAAGGAACTTTTAACAAACAAGCAAGCAAACAAAATAACAAATTTTTAAATACACTGTACAGTGAAAACTGTCTATTAATCCAACCCATGTGCAATCCATCACACTGTGAATTCCAACATTACATTTCTTTCCCATTTTACTTATTTCCATTTTTTTACACTGTGCAATCTGACACCCTGTCTATTCCGACACAAAGGTTATCTCCCTGTATATATAGGATTAGACAGGCTTCACTGTAATATTAATTTTTGACTGTTTTAATATTTAACTGTTTCTCTTTACTTGCAGTTGATGCCTTGTTCCGAGAGGTTGGAATCCAACATGGCGGACAGATTCGCTATAACGACTTTGTTAAATCGTTACTTACCCCTGTTCCTGATTACTGATTGTGCTATTAACTTCTTGTAAAAAGTTGCTGTAGTATGTATATTACTATGGTTTTTAAAGGAACTCTGGTAAAATGTTCACCAAAGAAAATATATGATTTGTTCAATGCTATATACCAATGTACTTTATATTTTGAAAAGTATGTGGGAACTCAATGGCAGTTAATTTTTTGTTTTATAAACTTTTGCTTTGTTACAATGTTTTTACTAGAACACTTGGTTGTAAAGACTTTACTTCTTCATTGACATTTTTGTCATTAAAATTCATAAAATATACCTGGTATATGTGTATTATTACAGAAGTAATGTATATGATTTGATTTTTAAATATATATTATGCAATTTTTGTTTGAATTACAAGGGATGATTTTAACTAACATATTCATGTGTAATGGATTGGGCTGTGGATATCAGCCTGGATAGCTCAGTTGGTAGAGCACCCAACTGGAGATGCAGGGGTGACCAGGGTTTGTGTCCCGGTCCAGTCATACATTTTCTCCCTTCTTGTTACACATGTATAAAAAGTTTACAATGTGTAACATGTACTTATAAAATAAAATTATTTTGTTATTTCTTGTAAATTATATACCAACATCAGTATACATAAGGAAGCATTCCATTTTCTTTTTTTGTAAGCATTGAGTTTCCATCAACAATATTTGGTTGTGAGTTATTTCTTTTCTTTTACTATCTTTATACTGTTTTTTTTCCAGTAATTTTTTGTCTTTACAAAAAATATCCCATGTTATATGTATTGCAGAGTTATAAAGATTTCTTATGAATGTTAATGTGGTTATACATGTATAAGTGTGATTATCTGACCATATAAATGATATATACTGCTAGTTGTGATACAATTAAAGAAATGTAAAGGAATTAATTATTAAAATTTGAAAAAAAAATCCCCAAGGGCTTTTGAATGAATAGAGATTTCTTTAATTGAATACTTAGAATACAAAGTAAATAAAGTAAGTAAATTCCAAGCATCTGTCCCATGAGTTCCTGCTCCAAACATTTTAAAAAACTAGAGGCAAAGTTGTTCCATGTTTTGCTCTGGGAAACCCGAAATAAGTGCCAGATCAAAAAGACAAATAATTTTTTTCAGGTTTACAAGTTGAACTTGAAAAAAATGGCTGCATTTCACTTCTGGACTTATTTGTAATTATCAATTTTTCATTTCCTACATGTTTTTGTTTTCATTTTTGAAATTTTTTTTTTTTTTGTTTTCAGTTCCGACATTTTTCATATAGTACCTTTAGTAACAGATTTTCAGTTTTAAATTAACTTATGAAAATTTTTAAGGAATAATTTAAATCATAAATAAATCATTGAAGTCCAATTTCCGAGTTATGTAAATCTATCAATGGCTTGGACAGAAATTAGGTGCTGTCACTGACATTTAATTTAGTTCACATGAAATGCGTTGAAAAAATTTTAATATGCTCTCTTACTTAGATTAGTGCAACATGTGCCTGTATGTATGCATCTATAGATGATTCCGCGGAATGTTTATATTTTTTAAACAATATTTTGCAATAAATGCTTTAAAAATTCCGTTTCACTTCCTTAGAAAACATTAAATTGCCGCACAGGTAAATTCCGGATATGAAAAAAAAAAATATGTCGTCAATGAAAACACAAATGTCGGAAATGTTATCATGCATATTTCCAGAAATTAAATGCAGCGAAAAAGATGCTAAGTTCCCGTAATACTATATTAACTGTTGGAAATTTGAACCATTATGTCTTTCAAATAAATAGTCTTCTTTGCTCCGTTGTCGTATATAGACATGATAGATCTACATGTACATGCATGTTTATGTTCAGCAATATATGTATCTTTTCAGTAAGTATACCTATTAATCTTTTACTGACAAGAATGAATTAAATGAAACAGCGTATACAGTCTTTTTAAAATTATGAACATACCTGAAAATATTTATTAATAATTAACCCAATTTTGGTTTTAAATCCCAAGAAAACATTTTACATGCAGAACAGTACATCCTGATTGTATTTCCGCGACTCGGAGAAAGACATATACACAGAGTACACTTTTTTATTTTCAAATTATTAAAAAAAGTCGCATTTACTTCCACACCAGTTATTATAAATACTGAAGCAGACACTGTTTTCCCCCTATTCAAGGTCACCAGACAACACTTCATGCGCATCCTTAGATACATAAACATTGCGCGATCAATATTATAATTACTCGAACGTGACCCCAAAATAAAATGTGTGTCCCGACCGCGAGACACAACAGACGATTCCAAAACACAGGAATGGGGGGAAATTCCTAGTGACCTATATTTAGACTGAGGTCAACGACTGCAGGTAGAGCGGGGTGACCTAACTTACTCTAATTATAACAGGGCAATGTTCTACGCTGAACTTCATTGACCTGGATATCGTACTATTACGCAAGATGTGTGTTAAAATCCAGCGTTCATTGAACAGGGCTGTCTTATTTACACGGGGTTACACAGTGGAAAATTGTATGATATGGTTAACAAGAATAGATATGGGTTACCCCATATCCAAAGATATTCGACTGTTAGATTTAATATGTTTAACAGTGTTTATAATGACGTTAATAAAAAAAAAAAACTGCACTGTCTAATTATGGAACTGTTGTAAATATCGTGATTCCATAGCATTACGGTCACCCAGTCTCCTAACAAACAGTACACATAGGCCTACATGTACCTGTAGCCTTGGTCTACACACGTGCAATGGAGCTGTCACACGCATCCAGCGAGATCGGAGAAACACGTTTTGTTTTGCCGAGAAGTTACGGTGTCAGACAAAACTTTTCTTTTCTTAATTAGATCATATAAATACGAATTCTGATTAATAAAAATTATACAATCCCTGTTGAACTTTATATAGTTTGTTCTAACATTTGCATCTGCAACAACTTGTGTTTAAAATGGCCGGGTTGGGAAAATCAGGACCGGGTCGGAAAATTCTAAACTGAAAACATGGAAAACCTTTTTTGTTTTGAAAATAACTGAAATATACTAATATATTTGTCGCAGAAATTACTTACATTATTCAAGTTCTATATATAATGGTATGCTGAACTTCAACACGAACCCGAATCTCCAACCCATGCAGTTCTCGTTTTGCCACACATACCCTACAGTTTACGAGTTGTACACACGAGCAGGCCAGGGATTGAAAATTCCGTCATTTAATAATACACACACACAGAATGATTAATTTTTTCTTTAAATACAAATTGTATGATAATTAACGGACTATAAACGTGTACTTAATACAATTGTTGATATAGTATTATCAATTCATTGGTGAAAAGATATGAATCGAAGAATGACCTAATTATTCTCTGTTATCAAACACGTAAAAAAAAAAAAAAAGGCTGAGGAGGGAGCGAGCGTAGGAATATTGATATTTTTTATTTGCATTTCGGGGGGAAAGTGACTTTCTAATGATATTTTGACGTTATTTTTGATTTCTTTAACGTATGACATACACAACTTTACTTTTATCATGAACAATAATGTTGTATCTACTTATCATGATGGAATTATTTTGGTCGGACCAATATGTGTGAGCTGCCGCTGAATACAGTTATATATCTTGCAAAGATAGTATGCATTGATCGAATATATAGAAAAGGTTGATAGGAAACTTTCTTGTATATAAATAGAGTGCATTGTGCGGGGGAACAATTTGATTTATAAATCGTCTACGGAATGAGAATTTTTAAAGAATTCGTTTCACTTAAAAAGATTATGCACAAATAATTTATTCTCAATTACTTATAAATATAATTATTCCTACAAATTCAGGTTTTAAAAAAGTCATTGACTTCAAAAAGAATATAATTAAGCACATTGGAGGGAAAATAATTTAATTTATCGTCTATGAAATGAGCAGAATTTTTAAACGATTCTTTTTACCAAAACATGTTAAAGTTCATGCCCAAACCATTTATTCTCCATTAATACTTATATATCAATGTCTTACAAACTAAAAATTATACCTATACAGGTATAAATCTAGGTTAAATCAAGTCACTGACTTTAAATAAAAGTATATAATAATTGATCTTGATAATTATGCATTCATTCAGCTTTTAGAGACAGATGTGGTATCGACTGACGGTATTTATGGAAGGGAATTACCGCCAAAAATCTATGTACCTTGCTTTTATTCTTATTCTACCTACTTCTTTATGCTTTGTTACTATTGTAATTATATGTCACTTTATTGTTTTCATATTCGTCTTTATTACATTTCACTTTGACTTTTATCCTTCTTCATTTTGTCCTTACTTCTATGTTGCTTTATTCTTGTAAATTCATTCTACTTTTTTAAAAACTTAAACAGTTTCTTAAATAAATTATTCAATCACGCAAACAATGAAGCATATTCAATGAAGACGAATGGAAGTTGCCAAACCGTCAAAATTTAGTGCGGCATTATAACGCTAGGTGGTGTGGTGTTCGCTACGAGTGTTGGTAAAACTAGGTAACCAAACCCGGGTCGGGTTATTTGAGATTCTTAAATACGCCTTAGTACTTTAATTATCAATCGAACTTCTGAAGGCTGGATCCAATAATCCGATCCAATAATGGAAACTTCATATTTATTTTCTCTGGGCACACAGGAATAGCGGCCTCTTTTTTCAGACATAACTTTATACTATACTGAATATGTTCATTGAAAAGCCGACCCACTTTTTGTAAGAGTAAGGGTCAAATAAGTTAATGTAGTACGTATAGTAGGAAGAAAATTTAAATTTGATTCTATAGAAGAAGTTGAATCTAACCCAAAACTCACCCCGCCTTCGAAATAGGATTTCATTGGCATCGGAAGCAAATTGAAAGTGGGGGGGGGGGGGGGCTAAGTGTAAGAATTTTTTAAGACCTTAAAAAAAATCTGACAAGCAAAAAAAAAAAAAAAGAAAGAAAAGAAATTTCCATTTTCCAAACTCAAATATTCAATTTCGTCGGTGTGGGGGGTGGGGTGGGGTGGGGGTGGGGGGTAGGTTCGAACTCCAGTGCCAAAGTTTTTTTTTTCCATACAACACCACTTTCCCCATTTTAAACCTATACTGCATCGTGTCCATGGTAAGGTGGGGGGTGGTCTAAACCTATGCAGGAACGTCTGTACTAAGTCTATCTCTGGAAAAAAAAGTGGGGGCTAAGCCCCCCCCCCCCCTCCACGGTTCCGACGCCTAGTATGTATTTTCAAGTTTGGACAATTTCCTGGGGGGGGTTTTGTCAAGGTGCTTTCAGCCGGGTACTTTACTATTTATTCTCTTGTTGCCCCCTCCCTACTTTCAAAAACGTACAATGCTACGTCACTGTTCTCTCGCCTGAAAAATATAACTCTATTAAAGTTAATTGTTGGATTTTTGAATTCCAGTTTAATTGATATAAAAATGTTCAATATTTTGATACTAGTTAACCCTCATAAATTGGGTTGTTTTTCAGAACCTTCCACTGAACTGAACTTCATTTCACGACAGATAGTAACTGCTCATGTGCGTGATTCTAGGGACATGGCTTTGCAAAGGAGTGAGGAGCGTTAATATGGGTAGGCAGGCGCGGATCCAATTTTTTTCTTCCGGGGGGGGGGGGGTGGGGGGAGTGGGGTGGGGGTTCCACCCCAGTCCAAAAAAAATTCCAATCCCAGAAATTTCTTGACGAGCATAAAAAAACCTAAACTCGCCCAAACATCAAAATCCTATTTCATAGGGAGCGTTTAACATTTTTTCCTTGCTTTAGTATATACATTTTTAAACCTTGTAAATTCCAGGGGGTCCTAACACCCCACCCCCCTCTAGATCCGCGCATGGTAGG